AAGCAGTGCCTCCATCGAGTGGTCCACGTGCGTGGGGACTTCTGCCGTACAGTTGTGCTGTTGCATGCGAGCGAAAATTGAAAAGTACACATCGCCATAAACCATACCGCAGACCTTTCCCCCAGCCCCCTCGCCTTCCCCCAACCCGTTACAAACTCTAATACGCCGCCCTGCGAAAAAGTTTTGCCTCGGACGGTCCGGGACTACGGAGGGTCCCTGCGCGCAAACCGCTCCCCAAGCAGCGCGCGGCAATCGAGTTTGTTTATTGCATAACGAGCGTATTATAGCGGCACCCTCCTCTGCCGCTCCCCCCCCCCCCCCCTTCCCTCTCATGCTTCTCTACATGTTCCATCCCTCTTCTCTCCTTTTTCGGTCCTCGTTTGTCCTCCCCCGACCACCAGGCAACAGCGTAACGCTGTCATTATTGAAATAATTTGTCATCCGGTAGCGTTGCTGGGACCCCAGCTTGCTCGCAGCGCATGCGGCGGCAGTTGGCAGCAGCAATGGGTTCTTTTAATAGTAACACAAATTTTTTTCATGAAAAAAATGAACCATCTGCTAAAAAATTGTGAAAAATGCATTACACTGTAGGTGTCCTGTCAACAATTAACATTTGACAATATACAGTATATTATGCATTGTAGATACATTTTACACCAGATACCATGTTCGTCTCGGGCTCTTCCTTTTTCACTCTGATAAACCAAGTTAGTAACTGGAAATTTAATACTTACAAGTGTTCAACTAGATAGGTACACAAGAAAGTGTGTAACTTCTTGGTTGAACCGTACCTTAGATTAAGTGCTCACTGTGTGAGAACTGCTAAACAGAGAAGAAACACACTTGCAAGTATTCAACTTACAACCTAGTTTATCAGTGTAACTTTTCAAAACCTATTCTCGATTGCTTTTTTCATAGACCAGACAATGCCTATTGTATTTCATTTATTTTTTCTCATAAAAAGATAAAATGTCCGAACATTTTTTCCTGCGGGCGGGTGGAGGCGAGACCGTTTCCTAAGTTTTCACGCCCGGTGGCACTACGTTACACTCCGTATTCCGCGGCGGGTGCGGCGCGAGCCTCGTCTCCCGGGTGGGCCTGTGGGACAGAGTAAAGGCGTCCCCGTGGGCCAATCCGCCCACTTTATATTCAGGGCGGGTAATGTCACTCACTTAACGGATTGTACCCTCCTTCCTCCATTCCCTTCACTCCCCTCTTCCTCTTTGTCACCGGAGTTTTCTCTCTCTCTCCCTCTCTCCCCCCTTTGCTCTCTCGCTCTCGCCCCCACCCCCATTGTCCCTCATACAACCACACCCCCGCGCGCCATCGTTCATTTCCATAATCGCTTCTGCTATTATCGGCCCTGTTATTCAGCTTATCCCGATCAGGGTACTTACTGAGAAGCGCTCACTGAGTCTGGCCCAACTGTGCCAAAAATAAAAATCACATACCCGATATGGGGTCCGTTTGAGCCAGTAGGAGCAGGCTAACGCTTTTCCGCTCGGCAGCCCGCATCCTGATCCTGATCCAGCTTGTCACATAGTTCAAATGATGGATGAGTCCGAACTTTGATATAACTTTCACTTTAGCTAAAGAGTTTCGTGTAGCGTCATGCGGGGACACGCCTTCACTCCAACCATCCCCGGCCGCCTGAAAACCTTATTATAGCCCCTCGCAAGCGGGCCACCCTCGCGCGCTTGTAGCGGCAGAAACTTTGACGTTGGGCCCATTTTCTTTCCAAATATGTCCTTAGGAGAGCAAACATGGTGCCATTCCCCCGCAGTTATCTCTCTCTCTCTCTCTCTCTCTCTCTCTCTCTCTCTCTCTCTCACACACACACACACACACACACGCACACACACACAGTCTCCCTCTCACTCTCCACCTCGCTCTCCACACACACACACACACATTTTCCACGCCCCGGCGCGGGTTCGCGGCGGCGGCCTTGTAAATGGGTGGGTAATTTATTGCTGCGAGGAGAGGCGCGCCCCGCCCCGCCGCGGCCCGCCATGAGCGCCTCGCACCACTCGAGAGTCTCCCGAGTGCCGGACGGGCGGGGCGGGCAGCCATGCTGCTTCCTCCCCCTCGTCCCATCTCAGGGCAGCAGAACCGGCAGTGGTGAGGACCACGGCCCACCGAGGCATTATTTTCATTTGCAGGCCAAACTGGGCAGGAGAAACAAAAGCAACGCGTCGGAATAACACCCATGTACGGAAAGATGAGAGAGAGGGTCGTAGATAGAAAAACATTTCTCACCCTCTGATCTCATTCTCTGTTCCTTTTTGGCCGGAGAAGGCGCTAAACGCTGGTAGTGTACATCGACCCGCTGGGACAGTCCGCGCCGAGGCTGCTGGGGCCAAAGTGTCGCCAAAGTGTAGCAAAAAGGGTCTCGAATGAGGCGGGTGAGCCAAGCTTGTTCCCAACTCCCATCTCTCCCTGAGCGTGACGAGCCCCTCCGACCCTCAAAGTTTTACTATTAGTACGAAATCGTGCTCTAAGGCCACGGCTAAGGGGAGAAAGAGAAGACCGATTCGAGTAAGGGGGCGGAGGCGAGTTTGTTTGAACACGAAAAATTATCCACCAAAGTTACATTTGTAGAGCAATTTTTTTTTCGGAGACAGTCAACCGCCTGCAGGGCTAGAAAAGGAAAAACCCCAGAACCCGCATTTTCCGAGCAAAATGTTTAAACATATTTTTTGTTGCTTTGTGGGTGGTGAGTTCTAAGGGGTTGAACAAGCAGAGCGTAGAGTCTCACTTCACACCTCTTTTTATTGCCTGCTGGAGGGCGATGGTGGGGCAGAGCGACGCCGATTGTCCACTGGGCCGAACTTGGTTACAAGAGTGAGAGAGAAAGAGAGAGGCGCTCCAGTCTTTATCCAGTGATTGAGCTATTTTCCAGCGGGCTATAAAAGCCGGGGCGGCTGTAACCACCCCATTATACGCCCCTCCCCGCTCCTTAGTAAATGATCTCCTGGGACGGCGAACAGTGGCAGCGAGAGGGGCTGGCCCGCGCGCTAGCGGGGGTTACAACCTCACCCCCGGGACTAGTTATATACTCTTTGTATTTAGTCCCTGTGGCAAGTCAGCCACCCCCCGCCACCCTCTCCGCTTGCCCTTTTGTGTGTCCGCTGCTCTTCTTCAACCCCTCCCTCCCCCCTCTCACCCTTGCTATTTCGTCCATTCGCCTGACATCTCCTCTATTGTCCTCGTTAGCGAGATGATTGTGCTGGCGAGCGTGTGCCAACTCGGTCATAATCTCTTCGCTCTCTTGCGGCCCCTTCCTTCTCTCCGTCGCAAACAAAGTCCACGAAGTGATAGTTATTTTGCTTTCATTTCGCGCCCTTTATGCGATAAAATTGGCGCCTGATCGCTTGGAATAACACTGGAGTGGCCGCCGCTTTTGTGCGCGCGTTACCGAGCCAAGGTGCGAAACCGTGCGGGGACAATGCGCAACGCCAGTCCAGGTATAACGCAATACGGGCCGGCCTCACAATGCAGAGCAAGGAGTTTGTGACACGTCTTCCAGTAATCTTGGAAAATTTACTAACAGCTCGCGAGCACAATCTTTAGAAAATTAAGAGTACATGAAGAGGCCGGGGGCAGAGGTGGACGTGTCCCTACTCAGTCAATGCTCATCAGGTCCCAAGAGGCTTTAGTGCGCACGAGAGTTATTAATTGGGTCGATTTCAGAGTCACGTGATCTGATATAGAGGGGCGAGGCGAGAAAGATTTTATCGTCCTGTCGGCTCCTACTAACGAGAAAGGGAATGTGGAGAGGAAGCGCACTAGGGGAAGTGAGAGGGAGGCGGCAGGAGAGAGGAGAGGGGAGACGGGAGGAGAGAGAGGAAAAGAGAGGAGGGGGAGTAGTGGCCTGGGGTGGCAACGCGATTATGCGAGGGGTGGCAATCAAAATATTATTTCATAGCACGGACAATTATGCCTGTAACGGGGGTAAGCTCGGCAGGGGAAGGGCAGAGTGAGGGTGGTCTAGCCGAGAGAGGAGCACAGAATAACGACTCGTCTGAATG